TTTCGACAAGCATTAGGTAGAGGACCATCTTGTAAGGGAAATTCTGAAATTGGATCCAACACTCTGTTAACCATATGATGAAGCATAGAGTTGCCTCTTCATAATCGGTTCCTATGAAAATGTTTGCAAAATTGGTGACTGATTCCTAGGAGGAAGGTGATAGCGAGGAAAGGAGAAAGTAAGATTCTTTAAATGTATAATCCAAAAGCCTAGTGAATCCCTCTCATCCTTCCAATGTGTAAAGAACTGTGAAGTCTTTTAAAAAATTAAATGAAATGAAATTATGTATATATCATTTATCTGTCGCTCTTATATTTCTTTTTTTTCCTTAAGTGGATGTATGAGATCGCTATTGTTGTTAACGGCTTCGCTCATATGAATGTAAGACCTAAAATTTGGTTGTCTTTTTGTCCTCCTTATGACTCGGTTGGCTTGGCTAAGATGGCTTTACTCGGTCAATTAAGTGAGCCTCACAGTCTTCTGTTGGTGGGTCCCTTTTATCATACTTTTTATTCTGAACCTTTAGATCTCTTTAGGATCAACACCGACACATTTTTTATGTACACGATCCAAAATTTTTTCTGAATATCGATGATTTACCCGATTGCTTCTTTTTATTAATAATAGATCTTCAATTACCGGTTAAGCTTCATTTGAATCATACTTAAGGAGTTGAATGTGGCATCGTGCAAGATTTGAAAACTTAACACAAAAAATCAATTGCAAATGGAACATCTTCCTCTGCTTGAATTAAGATTTTATTATTAAAAGTTTAGCTTAGACATAAAACTAATTAGCATTAGTAAATGAAAGCTATTGCATCAAGCTTTTTTTTTGTACTTAATGATCTTGCAACTTGGTGAAGAACTGAACTGAACCACTTTATAGGGTGAAGAAGCTAATTATCAAATTTTTGTTCATTTACGAAGGAAACGTGATTGATGTCTTACTTCCTCAAGCAGAAATAAAAATGCCAGCACTCATCCACTTCTGTTATTCAGAATTTTCGTTAAGAAATCAAAGCTTGACAAATTTATTGAAGAACTGTAAATTATTTCAGATTCATATATTGTTTGGAAAAGAAAATTAAAAAATTGCAGTGAAAAAACCATGCGGTATAAATATAATATTTAAAAAAAAATATTTAAGTTATGTAAATACATAGAAGTTGTTGGGTATGTTTGTAAATGCATTTTTTTCCCATTAAGTTTCCTCAATAGTAATCTCTAATACGTATCACCTAATTTTTATGTAATTATCTATCTAACATTTAAACTTTTCTTTTTATATTTCATAAGCCTTCAACAAATTTTATGTATCGAGCACTAATTGAAGGCATGGCAAAAAAATTTAAGTGAAAAATATTCAAAATTAGATCAGAATTAATCCAGAGGTCCGATTTCGACAAACTTATTGTCAAACCGACTAGGTCGACTAGACGGACCCAACGATATTAAAATTAATCCAACCTTTGTCAAATCAAACCCAGAACAAGCCGATAAACCTGTTTTGGAAGCTTTCCATAATTTTTTTGGAATGTCAGAAGGATTTCAGATATGACAAGCTCATAGCCGAGTTGAGCATCTTGACAGGACTAATCCAACGAGCTTATGATCGCATAATTTCTGCATTACTATGATACTCAAATTTTCTTTAAATGCCCGTCTGCTCGAGGGAATCTTTATGGGAGCGTCTGATCAAAGTGGTTTAGATTCATTCATTAATCGCAGCTGGGTCTCTATAACTAGAGTCCCACTCCTTTCTTGAGAGGGGGCTGGACCTTGAGGCATGAAGAAGAGTGAAGCTTGGAGAATACACTGAAGTCCAACATCACTTATGCATCAATGATCTGCTGCCCTCCGACCAACTTTGGTCGTTGCTGCCCTGCGTCCAACTTGGGCCGCCGCCACCCTCCGACCAACTCGGACCACTTTCATCTCTAATTAACTATGACCGTTGTTGTCTCTAGCACTTCTGATCCGGCCATCCCCACCTCTGACAACCGCCACTACCAACCACCAACCATCATCAGTTGTCGCCTACTTCTTGCGACAAAGCAACCTACGAAGCGACACCATTATCTCCTATGTTGTGCTGACTTTGAAGACGATGCATTGAAGGCTCAGTTATTGCTCCTTCTTGTGACCGCTCCCTACAGTGGAGCTACAAATCCTTCCGCACATCAACATTGTAACTTAGAAGATTGTGTAATATTTTTTCGCCTGTGAGACCAAGAACCATATCCATAATCATCAATTTATAATGTATCTCTTCAAATGTGCTAGGCTCCAAATTTTTTTTCCTTCTCCGTGTTCTCCACATAAAAAATCTTATGTTATTTTTGTCACCTAAGTCTTTGTTGGGTTTTCTTGCAATACTAAGACGTTAATTAATCACCCTAACACCGCGAATTCTCTTGCATACTTTAATATTTATATCATCCAAAATTTTCAAGTTAAATAAGAATATTACTGATACGCCACCAACAAATTTCCATCAACTAGCACGAATCTCAATGCAATTTTTTGAACAAGAAACATTCAAACTTCGATTAAGAGTCACCCGGAGCTCCGATTTAAAATTATAGTCAAACTAGTCAAACTGATTGGCTCGATGAGACAGACATAATGATATAAAATTTAGTCCAATCCGAGTCAAATCAAGCCCAGATCAAGTCATTAAATCAACGAGCCTATTAAATCACTACTACAGGATTTCCGGAAGCATTTGAAAGGTCAAACAGATGTCAAATCTAGCGAGTTTATAGTCAAATCGAGCGTCTCGAAAAGACAAATCCAATGAGTCTAATATTGCTCAATTCCAACATCGTTAAGGCACTCAAATGTCCATCAAACATCATCTGATCAAGGGAAGCTCTCCGGGCCGTCCGATCAAAATGGTTCACATTCCTGCGTTAATTGCACTCAAAACACTATAAATAGAGTCTCATACCTCACATGAAAATGAGGAGGCTTAAGAGAGAGCTTAAGACTTTGAGAAGGAGCTCAAGTCCAAGATCATCTTTGTCATCGTCGATCGCCGTCGACCACCATTGACCGTCAACAACGACTGCTGACCTCTGTCGACCACCGCCGACCACCATTGAACGCCGCCAATCACCGCTAACCTCCGTCAACTACCGATTACCAAACGTCATCAATCGACGCTGTAACATGGAAAGCTAGTAATTCTTTCCCGCCTGTGGGACAAGGGGCATTTGTAATCATCAACTTATAGTGAATTTTTACAACTGGGTCAGACCTCATGGTTTTTCCCTTTTACGGGTTTTCCACGTAAAAACTTATGGTGTGATCACAACTCAATTCATTTTTATCTGAGTGTGTGATGAATTCTTGTGCAACGCTAAGACGATAATACATTACTCTATGGCCACGAATTTTCTAGCACGCATCAATTACAATTTTATCTTTTAATGTATATTATTGATGCATAAATAACATTATATATATATATACATTGTAATTAAGTGGTATGAATGTAAATTTCCTTAAGCAAAGTAGGGCCTTGACAGTGAAAAAACATAAATTTATTTAAATTTATTAATGAAATATTTTATATGTGAAGTATATCTATAATACAAATGGTATTTCAACTTCACATAGGTCCCCATTCACGTTAAAATAACATTAACTCGATACCACCAAGTAGAGCAAATCAATTTTATTTTAAATTTATTAATCTTTTTTTTTTTGGGGGGGGGGAATTTAGAATTTTCTCTTTTAATATGTTTATTGGTAAAATAGACGGTGTAGAGATAGCTGATACCGTCCTTCGATTTAATAAAAATACATTGAATACAAAGCCATTAACGATGGTCCATCGAAAGCATTAATCTCAAAATTGCAATTTAGGAAAATATATATTATAAAAAAAAATTATTTCCGCCATTATTTAAAATTACAAAAAAAAAAAAATTAAAATGTTAAAAAATAATTCAAGGATTTTACTTATTCAATTATAATAGTTTATTAAAATTCCGCTTTATGCACCTTAGCTCTGTTTGGGGCAGCTGAAGTTTCTTAAAGTTAGATCGCAGTTAGAAAATTGCCAGCGCAAATAATCATAACTGTTGAGCAAATACAGATTTCAACGTCAGTTTTTTGAAAGTGTTAGGAAATAAATCAATGGCGGGTGTTAGGAAATAAATCAACAGCATTTATTGCTCTGATATGGTGTAATTAACGCCGATTCCATATGCTGTTGTCCAGGCTTAATTTCCACTATTTATTTATTTTCTTTCCTATTCTAAATCTTAGAATACTTATATAAATACCAACATTTATACAATGGAATAGATGCACCAAAAATACAAATAACTTTTCCTTTATTAGAAAGAACTGTCAAAACTTAATTTATCAAAAAGAAAAAAATTATGATGCGGCACTGCACCGCCGCCCCCAAACAGACCTTATATTTTCACAGTTTACAAATATAATTTTTAAAATTAATAAAATCAGCACAGAGCCTTAATATTCCAGAAATTAATACACTTGCAAGTGTAGTGTTTATGTATCTATCTTTTTAAATGTATTCAATTTAAGGCAATTTCAATCGCCAAAATCAATTCAATCAAACACTAATCTTGAGAATATTGTGGGGCCTCCAATAAAGCTGTTGTTACACTATTTTTTGCTTTAAAATTTTAGAAGAAAATTTAGGGTATATGAATAATTATTTTTTAAAAAATCATAAATTTTAAATAATTTTCACTTAATTTTAAATAAATTATATTAAAATTAATTTATACTAAATAAAAATATTACATGAATATTCGTAATTCTATCGCCTAATAAAAATGAGCCCCACAGCATTGGCTTATTGGATGACGACAAAGCTCGCTGTTTAGCGCAGTGCAGACGATCAGTGGGAAGGTATCTTATACTCACCAGTCACCCCGTACCTGCCAGTACCATCTCATGTACCTTTCATTTTTCAATTATCAAATAAATTCTCCGAAAAACATCTCTCCTCTCTATATTATATGTCCCCTCATCTATTCCCCTCTCCCTCACCCTCCGTTTCCTCCCTCTTTCTCTCTCTCGCGGAGTGAGAGAAAGAAACCCTAGCCGGATCCGCCGGCGCTTCGAGGATGAAGAAATTGATCAGACGGCTGGCGAAGGTGATGGATTCCTCGCAGTACGAGCCGCTTGATGCGGCGAATAAGAGGGTTCGCAGGCGGGTGCGCGTGCCGGTGGGTCACGTTCCGGTATTCGTCGGCGAAGAGATGGAGCGTTTTACGGTTAGAGCGGAGCTCCTCGGCAGGCCGGCGTTCGTAGAGCTTCTCCGGAGATCGGCGATGGAGTACGGTTACGATCAGGTTGGTGTTCTGCGGATCCCGTGCTCGGCTCACCTCTTCCGTCTCCTCCTTCAAACAGCCGACGCCGATATCTAGGGTTTGGGGCTTCAGGCTGGATTGCCCGATTTAATTTTCTACTACCTATCAATCTCTATGTTTCTCATGGTATTGAGGTATCGGCCCAATGTCTTCTTCAATCCGCACCTACTTTGACCGCATGGAGACGCTCTCATGGTTTTTTTTTTTATTTTTTTAATGTGTTTCCCGTTTAGCCATGTTTACTGCTGGTTGAAGGGCTTAACAGTGGAAATGATTTGAGGGTAGATTTGTAATCTTTTTTTTCACTTTTTTTTTACTTAGTTTGGGAAAATGTTTCAAGGAAGGTGTTGTATAGAAGGAATTTCGTGGAAAGGAATATGATTACGATTTTCAGCATGAAATTACGATAATTTCGCCCATGTTTGGGACGAAAATTACGGAGATGGTATAGGGGTTGAAGTGTAAAGATATGGTAATTAATGATGGGGACCGAAATTAATGTAGCTGGTAGGGGTGGATATGGAAAATGTCTGGGAGAATTTTGAGCACCTCTGTGTTTTTCTTATTTCAGCTTAATTTCGAACTTGGATGTGTTTATAGAAGTGTGCTCTTCGGTTTTGAAGTACAATTGCCGAGCACAATTTGTAAAATTTTCGCATTTAATTTCTTTTTAACATTTTGCATTTTCCTTCAAACTATTTATAGGGAGGATTTACAAAAATTGTATACATTCCATATATACTTACATATATGTGCCGTGTACCCCGGCTTATTAGTTAGCATCCACGGTATAAGATCCTCAGGTAGGGGTTCGAATCCCCTTTGACACAGTTGGTATTAAGGAGTTGATACTCGAATGGTTAGACACATTAGCTGTGATTGGAGGCTTTCCCCTCGCCATATACATGAATTTCTTGCCCTTAATACTTTAAACACTTAATTTTCAACATTAACAAACAACTTTTGACTTATATTGACAAACAATCTCATTTTTAGCAAAAAAAATGCGTTTTAGGAATGAAACAAAAAATTCTAACATGATTTTTTATATAAATAATTCAAAAGACAATAACCAATAGAACAAAAAACAGGCCAATGATTTAGAAGGAATGCATAATCCGCTCAATTACAATCATGAATGAATGACATCAAACTCTCCATAAGAACAAAAAGTGATTCATGCAATAATTACCAATTTCACAAAATAGAGATGGAAGATTCCTATGCAGTGTCCCTGTGAAAATTAGGTTTTTTATCTTATTTTAATTTTTGCAAAGACAAGTAGAATAATTTGTGAGAATTGAATCTTTCAGGAGGGAATATTAAGTACAGAGTCCGCATGCATGCGAACAACTTATATTGTTGTGCATATGTGTAAGTAGTGTACAATATTGTTATACAATGAGTTTGCATGCATGTGAACTTTGTATCAAATATTTTTACCTCTTTTAGAAATGGAAAACATTATATGCAGGTCTATAACCAAAAGTATAAGAATTAATGAAAAAAAAACATATCAAAGTCATAACATTAAGGGAAGGAGGACATAAACTAATCAAAATTAAATTTTTAATGCATTCTAATTTGAGCCATATAAAAAAATGTGTTCTTTTCCTTATCATCGTCACCATCAATGATATTTCTTTTGTGCTCATTCAAGATAATTTCTTAAACTACAAGTATGATTCAAGATCAAATTAGTGAGAACATTAACCCAAAAGCCTATACATCCATAGCCTGCCCCACCCAAAGTGGCTCCCTGTTGCAGTAACAACCAGATCGCTACTATCATCTTGCACACTGGCTTATGCGTCTGTTTCTAGTATGGATTCCTAAAACCAAAAGATGATTTCTTGACATCAAAACTTCAACACCTAAAAAAAAGAAATGCAATATCAAACATATAAATAAATAATTTTAAAAAATTGATTAAACTTGTACTAGGACAAAGTCAAAGAATACAAATAGGTGGAGTATGATTGCACCGATCAATTATCAACTTAAAGCTCTCAATTTCATCGACCAAGCTTGGTTGAGAGCTTGTTATGGGGTGGGCAGCCCCCTGACACTGAGAAGATTTTACGTACATTACTCCTCAGAGCATTAATCGCATCGTTACAATATCAACATCGTAGTTTAACTGTAGCAAAGCTAAGGAGCTGTATTTGATGGGCCACAATGCTACTCCTCACGAAAAATTTATGTTGAAGCCTGAAAGTAAGACGCTGCAGTGCTTTAGCACTCCCATCTCGTTGCAGTGCTACATACTAACGCTGCAGCTCCTCAAAACGGGAGTCCATTTTAAGCAATTCTTTCTGCGATTTTTGTGTGTGATTTCATATTCTTTTCTGCAAGGAGTGGAGTGCAAGTGTCATTGTGTGTCCAAATTATGAAGAGGCTTCAGTATGGTGCAATTTATACTATTCTCCTCATTTTGCTTAATAGTGAATTTTTGGTGTGGGGTCATTCCATGATTCTTAACCATGCTTGGGTTCTTCCATGTTAAATTTGGTGTTTTTCTTAATATTTTCTTGCTTTGTGTGCTTCTATTCAAAAGATTTTTCAGATTCACAAATAAATTTCCGCAATTCACATTTGATAATAGCACCCAAATTCTTTACGCTGGTCAGGTTTCACTCGAGCTTTTCATCCTCTCAGGAGAGCAATTAACAATTATAAAAATGCTGATGAAGCAGAGAGCGAAGATGATCCAGTACTTAGTGTTGGATGCATTGATCCTAGTGATAACACCCCTACACTACTAGGCAACTTTATCCAAACGTCCCTAGGCTATCATCTAAACCAAAATTCTTACATTACATCTCTTCTTCAGCAACTTGGCATGACTTCATACAAACCGGTACTTATACCTCTCCCCCCATAAGCTGCAACCCAGCCAAGCTTCTCTACAAGAGTACCACGACTTCACCCAATACAGAGCTAGCTAGTTGTCTCTAATTCATCACTATTACTAGGCTAGACATAATTTTCACTGTCAACCGCATCGATTAGCGTATGCGCAGATCTATTATCTACCACTTTTAGTTCATCAAGCATCTCCTACGATATCTCCAAAGAACTCTCTTCTTCGGCCACCCTATCACCAAAGGAAATTTACAACTTTGCACATATTCGTACTTCAACTAAACTTTTCATTCCGAGGGCAGGCGTTCAACCACTTGATTCTACACATCCATTAGCAACACTCTTACATTCTGGAAAGTTCAAAAGCAAAAAGTGGTGGCTTCATCTTCCGCTAAATTTGAAAACTAAGCCCTAGCTGCCGCTACAATAGATGTGATATGGCTTCGTAGACTTTTTCAAGAGTTTCACGTACTACAAGCACTTCCCCGCCAATCTACCACGACAACGCCTCCGTTATCGCTATAACTCAATCTAATTTTTCATGCCCCCACAAAACATGTCGAAATGGACTACCGCTTCATTCACAATTACATCGCATCAGAATCTATTCAAATTCTACACACTAGTTCAACGAATCAAGTGGTTGATATCTTCACAAAAACTCAGACCTCAACTACATTCAATAGTCATCAGATCAAGCTTACCATCACTCCACATGATTGTCAGCTTCAGGGGGAATAACAACCCTACACTGCCAAGCAACAAAAGCCACCATCTTCACTGCTCCATGCTACCAATCGAAAGCCTTAAGACCATTTCTCCCTCTCCAACAAATTCCAAAAGTTCATATACATACAAGATACAAAGTTTGTAATTCTAATTTTATTGCATTTCACTCTTTTCCTTATGAGCTTGTTTCAGTTTTCTCCACAGCAGTCGTCTGCAATATATAAAGATTATGTGGCATAAATATAAAATAATTTTTAAAAATGCTCCATATCTCCACCGTCGATAACCGCAATCAAAAATTTTTTTCTTAAAAAAAAGTTGAAAGTGAGGCCTTCTGAAATACATATTTGCGGTGATCGACGGTAGAGATCAGACACCTCATGCATCTCTGCATGGGGTGTCTGTATGAAATAAACGACTAAGACTACAATTTTTTGGACTTAAAACAATAACACAATGATTCTTTAGAATCAAGCAAATATATTCGAGATTTGAATATTTTTCTATGATACGTAACTAATCAACAAAAATCTTTCACTGTATTATAATCAACATTTTGAGTAACATGTGAGTCCAATTTTCTAATATATCCAGCTGGATTCTTATTTTATTAAACAAACCTCCAACAAAGAGATGCCCGCAACTTGCTTGAAGAAAAAAGAGCCATTTACATATATACCGCCCAATTTCTACGCATTTACATATCTAATATAAATTTAAACTTCTATATTTATACCATTCTAATTTTTTATTTCCCAAAAAAAAAAGTGACTCATTATTTTAATTATTTAAAAATAAAATATTAAATTAAATGACACTAAATTATTCATATATAGGATACGTACGGATAAGCTATTATGTGAGACAAAACTATGCGGAGCCCCAAAAATATAATAATATAAATTGAAAAAATAAAATAGTTCGATTGATGTTTAATATGTCGATAAAATACGAATCCATCGTGCATGTGAATGTGACCGACGGCTACGTCATTTCTCTGTCACAATGATGGAGTTACTAAATGAGAGTTAAATTAAATGTGATTAAGTGGGGGTGCAATTTAATTCAGGGGGTCGAGTTCGGGGCCGGTCAGAAAATGACCCAAGTTGAATAGGTCTGATTATACAGGTCGAAACTTTCAACTCATACTTGATCTGTCTTGAACTCGACTGTTTAGCTTAAAAAATAACAATTATTCGTGTTAACATGAGGTTAATTCGACACAATTTAGAGTCAATTCGGGGTTGGCTGGTCAATTTCAAAACTTATGGTCGGTAAGTTATATTCAAGCTATTTTTAGGATGGCTGGTCTAACCAAACTCGAATCGAAAAATTAAACGGATTGGGATATTTTATCTGTACTCGACTCAAAAATTATTCTAATCGAGTCAGGTTGGGTTGGGTCAATTTTATACACCGTTAAATTTACATAAAAATCATAAAACATTAATATTTTCTATATTTAATATCCAAATTTTAATATTCACTTTTCTAACCTTTTTAAATTACAAAACAATGAAAATATATCAATGAAAAAAATACATTTGACATAAAAAATTAATACATGCTATATATATATATATATA